CCGACCTTTTCGCTGTCACCCACTGCGCAGCAATAGGCAGTGAGTCGGGAGCTTAAATGGGGTGTTGCGGGTGTTGCACCTCTAATCCTACCTCCTGTTTTTTGATGGCTCCTAGCGTCTGCTTTTCTGTTGGTAATGTGAATACTATTGTGCTGTCATCGCTTAATTTTGTCTGAGTTTTCCCTCGACAATGATTTTGTCTTTTGACGTTCTGTTAGCTTTTCTTTGGCCTGCCATGGAGCAGGGTATTTTTTACATCCATTCGGATGAAAACACCAATAACCCTCTTTGGCTAATCTATTTCTTAAATTTGTACGGCTTAGTCAATCCCTGGGTCATGTTTCATTCTTTTACACCGGACGCTTCTTAGCCTCGTTTATCTAACTTAATGCAACGCATTAATAGCTGACCTACGATTGAATAATGTTTTTGACCTTTAGATCCATGAGCATACTTTAAACTTATAATCAAACTTGGTATCACTTTGTTAAGCACGTCAAACCCAAATACGCGGTTGTTATGGAGACCGGTTGCATTCTGCTGGAAATGTCACCCTACTTCCACCCAAATTATCCAGAGTGATATCAAAACCAATAAGTAGGTCGCTAAACGAAGTACCTTTAAAATAAACAAAGATCAGTGAACCGAGGGGAACATTACAAGTGTTTGTATATCGCGAAATGCATTCTTTAAAAAGATTCTGATTTTAGCACCCAAATTAGCAAAATCATCGGAACGTCCCGAGGAGCTTGGATGAGATTAGCTTTGGGTTGCTTAACCAGGATTGTGACGTGAAGGGCTGCACTACGGCAGATGAGAATTAAATAGTACAAAATATCTCCGACAACAACGCTTTCCACATTACCCAGCCGAAGCGTTGTGAAAAGAAGAACATATTTTTAAAATGCAGATGGCAAAGAAATGCTCGACTTGAAGGATTAGATAGGCATAAAAGAGATCCTCGTTTCAGCTTGCAGGTGTGGCAGCTTGCTCCTGCGTGGAAGAAACCAATTGGGTTGCGGAGGGAGGGGTGAGAGAGACCGGGACGAGGGGAGCGGCGCCGGTACTGGGACTGGAAGGGATCGCGTTTGGGGCAGGCGTTTCCAGGAGGAGCCGGTGAAATCCGTGGAGTGCACCCAGGGCCCTGTCATCTTCCTCGATAAGTTCGAATCGCGAGGTGAAGGCGAAAAAGTGTTTCGCTATTGTGTTCATATGGGCCACAAGGTCCAATTGTTCCAAATGGCTCACATGGGCAGTGTAAATGTGAACCAAACAGAGCAATAACTTTCTACAGATTCTGGCCGCCTCTTTCCGCAGATCTGCAGGCGAAAAGGCCTGGCCCTGTTTGACTGGAAAGATTCTCGCTGATTGGATCGCATCGTTGCATTCAGAGAGCATCAAACTGATCACTTGTCGAGCGGGTTTCTTCGTTTGCAAACAGGGATCCTCAAAGTCTAAATCCTCGACAAATTTTGAGGGACTGCCGTTGCTGTTGCCGCCAGCACCACGACACAGACACACCTCATAGAGAGGGTCGAAAATACTGCACACATTTTCCACCAATCCGATTGTGTGCACAGCGATCCACTCGTTCTCCTCAAGCGGATGCTCAGGCTCAACGAGCATGGGGAAGTCGACGGGAGTGTTTCCAGAGGCTGCAAGCGAGAGCTGTTGGCGAAGGAAGGATGTCCTGAGGTATGGAGGGGGGGAAGGTGGAGCTGAGGAAACAGAGGGAGGTTCGGATGGATTCGCTGAAGACGTCACAGAGGCGATGGGAGATGATGTCGACGCACTTATCAAACCACGACTTACACCTCGAGCTTTACCCATCAACCACTCCATTCTATACAAGGCGGGGATTGTGATGAGGTCTACAATAAGTAAATAAATGGAGTCCCAATGAATTAAATGCGGTATTGTTTCAGCTAATCAAATTTGAAACAGACTACAAACACTAGGTTTTGGCCAAATACTCAGAAGAATAGAAAATCTCAGAATAATGACACAGACCATCTGAAGACCACTTACATCAGATTTTGTTAGTTTCCTAGCTTCATGAGAGTCTTACTGAAGATTTGTATCCCATTTATTCAAAACCGTCATTTAATTAGTCTAAACATGTCTCAATTAGGGAAGTATATACCTACAGCTCATAAAGGGAGAAAGTGGCATCTACTTCCCACATACCATCACGAAACGTCCTTGTTAAACAGGGCGGCAAGATCACCAGCCTTTGAGAGACTAAACGTGCCTAACAGTATCTAACACACTTGATTTTTCCAAATGCCATCTAGAGCACGGACCTAAACTTGTGCAAGACGACTTTGAACTACGGTCAAACCACCGCCAAATCGATTTGGTTGGCGACGAGTTGATGAATAATTCTCAAAAGGTCACGTTGAGGAAATCCATAATTTTGCAGATGAGATTAACTCGTGGAGGTCAATTTGACGTCCAAAAAAATGTCTTCAAGTGGAAGGTCACGTAACTTAGGAAAGCAAATGCAAGCGTGGAGTTGTGGTTTTTGTATCAGTAAAAGGAAAGGTCATCTACGCCACAGCACAGTTCCCTTTAGCAACGCACATCAGTGAAGAAATATGAACCTGATTACACACGACTACCACACATGTGGCCAAATTTAAGAAATAAAAGAATCGATGAAGCAAATTACATTTATAAGATAAATTAGTTGTCCAAAATTAGTCACTATGTCAACTGAAGACAAATAAACTAGAATGCCAATCTGGTGTTTGTGCAGTAGACATATGTAGGTCTTTATTTTATACCCGCAAACTCTGACAAGGTGCGTCTCAAAATGGATACACGCACAAATGCGTCGAAATAGTGACGCTGTAAACGATAAATGCGGCTTTTATTTCATTTTTGCATTTTTTTAATAATCTATATAGACTTACACCACAGCACACTGTAAACCTGATGGATAATTTTTTGTCAGACATGTTCTTTTTGGAGTGACATATGCCGAATAAAATTGAGTGAGCCATAACAATTTATAAAAAGTAACTCTAGATTACTTGTGATAAGCAAGAAACTTTTTAGTGAATCGGACAAATGCACCTTTGAATTTGCACAAACTGCCGAAAAGAGCGTGTGAACGTTTATCTAAAACCATAAATTTACATCGAAAAATATCGTTTCATGATTGAGTTAGTCAAAGCATTTGTTCCTAGAAATTCCAGCGCATTAAAGCCTGCGTGCACTTGGATGCCGAAATTAAACTACATGTGATAATGACCTAAATTTAACGCGAGAAAACGTCAAAACATGCTTTCGATGCCATTCAAAAGCAGATTTTGCACGTATTTTCAAAAACCTCTTTTTTCGAAATTGGCTAGCACGTTGTAAGTTTTGTGTATCAAAAGTTGGTCATTATCACATTTTGTCTGTCCTCAGCATCACACTATATGAAAAACAGTTTTCTCAAAATGTTTGAAATCTCACAAAAAGCGCTTCTTTTTCTAATAATCCGACTATTATAAGGCATTTTGCAACGTAAGTTCATGAGATAATATACTACATATTCCTTTACAGTAGGTTAATCATTGTTTTATAATAGTCATGATAATATTACAACACAGTTGACTTTGAAAATTTGGACAACACGAAAACTTAGAACTGATTTTTTGCCGTTACCAGGGAAAAATAACCAATAAAGCTAACCAAAATTTAATCTTAACTTCACCCCAGAGGATGGCCTAACTAAGACCAATTACATTTTAGTAAAAAAGATTGGCAAGACTATTATTCACTTTATCTAGTCAATATTGACAAAATCGATTTAAAGAAATGGCGATTTGAAAATGCAGTAAAAGTACTGTGCAAGTTTCACGTTGATAATTTTCTAATCAAAATGATTAGGACTTCCAAGGGCTTCAAAATATGTCATTCCTACAAGCTATCAAACACGTAGTCATAAGAGAAAATTGGTGCCTGCTACTCAGCTCAATGCGTCATTTCATTTGTATTATTTAAAACTTAAAAAATACAAGCATTTCACAAATGAGAAGAGGCGCTCAACTCCACAGTCCTATTAAAACGTACGAAGTGAATCTTTAGAATTGGCTAGACTATCAGCTCAATAATAATCAACCCTACTTTTTTGGAACATCACCTAATTGAGCTAATAATTAAAAACTAGGATGCGCTCATGAGCGTTTTTCACACGTATGTGCACTAGAGATAGCTTCTAACGAAATCGCACATTACATTGAACTAATTGAGTAAAAATATCTAGATTACAGGCTCAGTCAGTAGAACTTGAGAATTAACACAAAGTACTTTTTTTCATTACATTAACCTACTGTAGAGAAGTCTTTTTAAAGTACCGGCCGGCCTAGTAAAATCGAGAGTTAACTAGTGACTGCTATTGAAGTTACACCGAAGCTTTAACCGATGGTTAGATAACCAAAAAGGTATTTAATGAATGTTTTGCGTTCAAATACTCACAATAGCACACGTTGATAATCAGTTATCAGTAGAAGAAGACAATGTTCCCGGCAAAAGCATTAAATCTAAGCAATGTTTAAGCAAATAATATATTTTACCGCAACGACAGAGCATAAATTCTCATGCCAACACGCAGCCGCAACGTGTCCAAGATCATGTCATCACTATGGTCAGGATGAAGTAATAACATGTAAATGGAAACCTGTGTTTAAGCGCTTAGACTACCTCAATTATAAATGCAAAGAAAATCTACTGAAACTAATTTTGCAAACCAGTCTAATCAACAATTAATTCATTAATAAAGTTGTAAACTCTGCAAAAAATCTGTAAGCATGCATTTTAATTTTCACAATTTATAAACATTTCCGGCAAGACAAACTTACGTTGGCAATAAAAAACAAAGCCCAAGTTTTTTGAGAAAAGAGGCAGGGCGATGATTATTAAAACAAATAATTTTTGTGGTGAAAAGATCTTCAAATCAACACATATAGCATATTGAAAATAGTAAAGCCTTCACGAAATGCACTTACCCTGCTTATTTGAAACTTCAAATACTGAAATATCCTATACAAAAAAACGGCAAATAAATGTTTGTTTAAGGCACATGGATTGTGTTGAATGTAAGAACTAATATTCCAGAGACAGATTATCTTGTCGAAAGGCTGTCTTTAGTAGTTCGATACAATTTTTTTTTAAGTTAGACCCTGGGTGATATTCGTTCCTTAGATTTACATAAATTCTATTTCTAGACAGCTCAATTACCCTCCATTTGCCTATTAATATTTTCACAAGTAACTAATTCGCATCTGAAAAAGCTAACTTATTCAATTTTAACTTGACGGTTTTGTTAGTAATTACTATTAATTTCTTATTCTCGTTATTGATGACGCTTTTGCAAGTCATTTCTGTCATTAAAATTACGGTGCACGCATTAAGTAAAATCATGTTGCGACATGCTAAAGCAAATAACGAATCCAAATTTTGAATAAAACTTTCCATCCTAACATTTCTCATAATTTAAATGGTCAGTTTTTGAACAATATTTCATATAGGCACCCAGGAAGGAAAAAAATTAGGGTTGCTTTTGGGTCAACTCGTACTATAACTTTAAACTATGTGCCCTTATCCAATTGAACGTGAACCTAATATCTGAAACTTGCTATTATAATTTTTACCCCTCAAATTTTGAACATATAACTTTGCCAGTGCAGCATTGTAGATTATTGCACATAATGATCGTGTGTTGATGGGCAATACTTAACTATAAATATAATGCTCACAAATCAAAATAGAAATTCAAATCCTTTTGTTCATGTCCGCTATAACATATTACATGCTCCATTTTCTTAAGTAGCCATTGTCCTCAAGTCTAAAAATTAACTGAGATCAGACAGTTTTTGAGAATGGATTTTACTAGGTAGAAATAGTGACTCTGGTGTATGGTTTTGATTATTCTAATTAGCGCTTTTAACGATGTTTTAAGATGAAGTAGAAAGACAAATATGTTAAATCGTATTTTGGCTTTTTTAGGAGAGATTTCATACTTTTACCTCCTGACATTTATCAAACAACTACAATCGAGATTAATGGATGTGTTTGCGTAAACAATGTTTATCAAATACAGGCACGATCCTAAGGGTTTTGCTAAAGAATATATCTGATCTTTTCTAGCTTGCACATTTCTAGCAATCTTTTCAGTACATAAGTGAATAAATGTTGAATTTAACAGTTATGCATTTGATCTCAGGCTCAAATTTCATGCCAAAACCTTCTGGAGACCACATAAACACAAAAATTTAACACCCTAACTACTATTCTAAGTAATTACAGGGGTTTTGGTGACTCACCACTGCTAATTCTGCTATTGTCAAACACGTTGTGTACTAAAACAGCTTTGTACAATCGTGCATTGTTTAAGTTTCGCCATAGTAAAGTCCGAAGAGGTAACCTTAATACATTATGCGCATTTTATTGGAAGAATGATAAGTGTAAAGTGGGATTTCACAGTCGACGTATGGTTCTGGTGTAAAAAATAAAATCATTGACCATGAAAATGGAAACAAAAGTCAAGTTATCTTCATTGTCAGAAACGGGAGAGCGTGTGTAACGCAAAAACATAATTGGATTGCTGCACACGATGCGCCCAGTTTAACCAATTCGACTAGACGTTTTAACCGGTACAGTGCTATACAAACGCAATACTCAACAATGTTACAAGTTCAGCGAAAGAAGAGGGTAACCGATATGCGTTAAGGAAATGTGGATTGTTGTATGCATTTCCTCCTTTGGCTAGGTGTTTAGATCAGGTATGAAAGGTGAGATAAGATTCTGCTTGGAGACGCATACTCACTGAACGAATCTTTTAGAGATATCAAATTATCAGCCAATTCATATTGTGCTAGGAGTTACTGGTAGGTTCGAAAGGCGGAAGTATTGAAGCAACCTCCAAGGTCTCCATTGAGGAGTTTTGGTTGACATTGGATATCATTGCTAGAGGCGATTTGGTCCCAGCCGGGGACGTAGCCTCAGCTTCAGTAAAGGTAGCGCGTTGGCTAACAGTAGGCGATTTCTCCTCGAGCGAAAATATGGGTTCGTCGACTTTATAGGTTGGCGTGATTTCAGGAGCCAGTGAAACTTCACTTTGACTTTTCGATTCTGGTTTTTCAAGGTCATGGTGTGGTATTCGCTCCGCGAATGTCGTTTCTTCGGATAAGCTTAAATCCATGCTCGTGGACTGGTCGTCGTTGGCCTCTACAGGCACAGAAATGCTGCTAGCGGATAGTTTTTGAGGGATAGTAGATGCTTTCATGACATTGATTGCGTCTGTGTGGCAAGAAGAAAGGCTTTTACCACGACTTAATTGTTGGGCCAATGATATGGAGTGGGAAGACAAAGAAGGTGAACTGGTCTGTTTTCGGTTGGATAGACCTGAAATCAGAGTAAGAAATATCTTTATTTACTATGGCAGACGCCTGACCTTAGCGGTAAAATACGAATTTATAGATCAATGAGCCGTTATCAATTCAATTTGAGTGAGAAAATGAGGTTCAATTAGAGACCAAGTGATTGATTATGTTAAATCGGTTTGCTTTATAATCCTATTAGTTATGATTTAGCTAGACTAATCGAAATTGGCTTAAGAACTTAAAGCACAAAGACAACGGACTTGCAGCAACCAATATATTATCGTACAAGTGGTGTTGAGAAAAAACGTCTGCAAGTTTTGTGTGCAACTACAACCAAACGACTTTTGCGCTTAACTATGTCTCTGTTAAATACTTCCTTCGCATAGGGTTGAACTGGTACCAAGACCAAGCATTCTGGGTGGCAGTTAATATTCGGTGTACTCAGAGGGTTCAGTCATTCATGCGACCAGAAAAGTTCCTTTTAGAAAAGCGAATAGCTCCCCACGTTGCATGGCGAACTATTCCATCCCTTGTAGGTCGGTGTAGACTTTAGTTATATATCAGATCTAGATGAGTCAATCGTCAGGGGCGGAACTTCATCCTTAAGTGTCATAAATTTCACATGAAGCAGATACCCAGCGTTTTAAACGCAAAACTCGTGGCATTGAATTGAGTAGTATCTCACCCCCGAGTAGGAATATTTGAATTAATCTACGGAGTTTAGAAATATTAGTTCGACCACAAGTCACGCATAACGTTTTTTGAAAATGGTATGATATACATATTTGTCAAATGACCAATCACGTAGAGTCATTGCAGCTTCGGCATACATCTTGGGATGCAGACATTTCATTTCCATCCTGCAATATTATTTGTGGTAATGTATTAAAATTGGCTGAGGTTAAATGGTTGTTTAAATGAGAAGACCCAACAAAACTGCATGGATTTGCGTAATTTCAATGAACGAGATCTCGTCACGCCCAATCACGCATTGAAGAAATTTGTGTCATTCCACGGAAAATATATTCTCAAGTATTGTTCAACTCATAGGCAGCTCTAGATGTTCTGAGAGCGTTTTTCGTTTGAGCAGGCTGACACTTTGTTACAGTTCACTTTTTAACTTCGTGTTTACTTAATCTTATGAGGTACGATTAATCATGCTGGTCTCCGACACAGAATTTAACGCATGTTGCCAACAATGCATGTAAAAAAGGATTACGACAAAGGTTGTACGGCTACGATTAGATTTATCCCAGGGATGAGGAAGTACCTACCGCAGAAGGGTAGACTTAGTCTTTCTGGCCTTTTACTCGCACCCTCTCGAGCAGGCTGTTTGTCGATCAGAGGCATCTGTGAGGCCGATCTGAGGGGACCGCTAACAGACTGGCTGACAAGTCGCATTATTGATCGCTTTCGGGCGGGTGTTGTGCTACCGGAGCTGCAGAGTTGTCCGCTGCAAGCAGGGTCACTGCAGGAGGCAGTCGAGGAACTGCCATCGTGGAATCGTGGATGAAATCTGAGCATCATGTGAGTCTGATCGTCAGGAAAACCCGCGTCTATGCGGTCTATCTCGTTACCCATCCAAAACGCAGCTGAAATGGAGGTTAATTAAAGTGTACGTGCTACTGGTCTCTATGCTAGTTCTTTGGACACCATGCAGTGCGACATTTGCTTGTGCTCAGCTGACTTCAACGGTTTACATTATGCATCTTACCTGTCTTAGTAGCCTTGGTTCACTACGCCCCAGGTCATAATTTGTTTTGACCCAAACATGCATTTCTGCTTGTCATATGAACTTCCATAACCAACATGAGGGATACTTGTGAGAACCTCGATATAGGGAAGCCGTTTGCTCAGATTTTCCAAATAAGTTGGAGCAAATAAATACCAGACAGTGGTGATTGAACAAGAAAAAAGTCGATATCATGCAGCGACGTCAATAGACTGATGGTCTACGGAGTCACGATCGGTTTAACAAAGTTGCGTTCACAAAACGACGAAGACGATAAGCGTTTAGTGCTTCAGATGGAACATGCAGAACATGCCAGACAAGCAGTGTAGACAGAACGGGTATGCGACGACGACTTTAACGGCGCCAACATGCCTAGTTTTCTCACCATCAAGATTTATGTACAGATATATACAGGTGTGTTGGGAGGCAATGGGAGCTAATGCCTGCCTTTTCGTCTACTAAACGAAAGGCTTGGTCTCGTAGACGTGCTGGTTCCTCCCTCCGAGGAATCGGAGGTTACAGCATTACTCCTCTGTCTCCTGGGGCGCCCAACAAGCATCCCATGCAGACTTCGCCCCCCGCGAATGCACGACGAAGTGGCTGTGGTTGCGGCAGTTTGAGGCATTACAATGTAAAACTCTCCACTCTTCGAGGTCTCATCGAGGGTCCAGTCATCACGACGACAACGATGACTCCTTCGGGGGCCAGATAGGCTTGGAACGAGTTGTGGCATGGATGTGGCGAGGTGTTTAGGCACGAGTTTGAGTTCCCGCGGTGCATTAACGTCATCTGTTGGGCTTGTAGAGGCAACCGCTGCCATATTCGTAAGGCTAGACAACGCCTTGATGTGGGCTGATTAGGGAAAGTGCGGAAGGGAAATCAGGTATCATATACACACAAATACATTACACTTGATTATTCAATTTAGCAAAAGATCGAAACCGCGTTGAGAAACTTTCCAAACTATTTTCTCGTTAAATCGTTGTTCCGATAAGACAAAGGACAGATGATAACGTCTGTGGTCTACCAGAATACTTGGGCCGACCATGCTAATCAACGAAGAATGTTAGAAACCATAAGTACGCACACAACTTTAAGACGTTTTAGTAAGAGGTTAGCTAGAAGGAACACTCCAGCTGCTAGACATGTTGTCTGCCAGGTAAAAGCAACCGAAATAAGAGTTTAAGAACCGGCTCAGCTACAATTGCATCCTTGCCGAAAAAGCGGACTATGGCATTGATTAAGCTTGATTGAAAAATTAAACAGGCATTCGAAAAAGTGGTTAAATTGCCACACATCAAAGCCGAAAAGGGTGAATGTACCCTTTTACAAACACATGTATACCACACCAAAACTTACACAATTTGCCTCGTTCGGTTTCCTCATCCGTATAGAAAAAAACTGTTGAAACGCAAATTGAAAATCAAGGAACATAACAGCCCCATGCACATGATTAACAAGTTGAGACTTTCACAAGCACCAAACTCATCCCCGCCTACTTCGAGCTTAAGGCGGCTCTTACAGGATCCTACAGGGTTTTCGGAGATTTTGTACCATGGACATCAACTAAAATCTAGCAGTTTAGTAGCGGCAATCATTAAGATTTAAAATCAAATAGTACGAGTTCGTCAGTTGTGAGTTTTAGTTAACAAAAACTATTTTTTAAGGTTTTAAACAATGTGCACGTGCATTATAAGCTTCACTATCAAGTAAGACACTACCAAAAAAGTCACTTTAGGGGACCAAGTTTCTTACCTCTACAGGGATCATTCTTTACAAGGAATTCCGTCAGGGGTGTCCACCCACCGCCAACACGAACCATCACGTTGCTTCGCAAAATCCGTACCAGCCTGAGCTTCTGCGAGTCACCGAACTTAAGAAAGGAAGACAAAGAAACACGTTTGCATGGAGTCACGTCAAACAGGAAAAAAACTAAGATAGAAAAGGAGGAAGGAGGAGGAGGAAGCAAAGAAACAGATCGGAAGCTAAAAGTGGGCAGAATGTGTAGTTAAACCAATATCTGTCAATTACCTTGTACATATTGCCGTTCACTTTGCTGATACGATAAGTATTGTGGCAAGTGCATAAACTGGCTTGATGCTTGGCCTCATGCTCGATAGCACTTCCTTCAATATTTGAGAGGTCGATCGGATGATTGCTCGATATTGAAGTTGAACGCAAAGCCGCATTGAACTTCTTCATGTCAATGAATCCCTCGCCGTTTGCATCGACTATGCTTGCTACAACTTCCAACTCAAGTCGAGACGTTGGGAATTCTAAAAAGGACATGAAGCATGACTTTATGGGGGCCTGTTAACAGAGAAATAATATCAACGTGGAGGCACTTACTCGAATCTAACAAGGCGTTCACAAATTCCTCTCTCGTGAGACGCCCATCTCTGTCCAAGTCGTACCGATGGAACATGTCGATGAGCCGCGCTTTCTTCGAATTCATCCATGCCAAGTAGCGGCGTCTCCAGCTCCCAAAATCGAAGCTCTTCAACTTCTCCACTTCATTGGCATGTGCTAAGCGCTCTTCTAAGATTAAACGCCGCGCCTGCGTGAGCTTTACAACCCTATCCCACTTTTCACACATCTCATTGACCCGTTCACTGGCGTAGACCTTGGCAGCAGGCGGCGCCACCATGCTCGAACTCCTGGACCTCACATCCCGTGGTCTCGATATTGTAAGCTTTTTAGTTACCCCAGCTTTTCGTGAATGTTTGAGAATCTCATCGCGCTGAGGACGTCGCGCCTCAATCTCCATTTCAAACTGCGAGTTCTCTGCTAGTAGGCGTTCCACTAGGGTGGCATCAACGTCAAATCCGGTGGAGCCGCTTTCTACGCGACTGGAGGACTCCGAGGAGATTTCAGAAGGTGCCTCATTGGAAGACAGACCTGCTGATGTGGTATGGAGGAGGGTGAGACGGTCGGATCGAAGGAGAACTTCTGCTGTGTTCAACCAGCTTATGAGTGCGTCAAGAGTCAACCGACGCTCACGTTGATTTATTGCCAACTGGGCCAACCTCGCCTCGTGTTTCTGCGACCAGTCAAGTACCTAACAAAATAAAATAACGACTGAGCGATAAACAAGGAGCTGTCGAATCCAAAATGACTTATCATTACTGTCCGGCTACTAATTTTCGGGGTCCTAGAACACGAAGCGAACCCTGTTTTATATTCAGCCTCCAAACTCACCTCTTCCCACCGTGTGTTGACGGCGTTCATCCACTGTCGGATCCTCGCTGCAGCCTCGGGTTGGTGCTTACATTCAGCAAGGATTCGATTTCCTCGGCCCAGACAGTCACAGACCCGAGATTCCTGAGCTGCCATGCCTGAAGTTATTTCTGCCACAGCGGTGTTAGCTGATGTCTCCTCTGAGAGGGGTTCTGTTGCGTCCATCTCCCTTGGATCATCGCCTTCGGGGAGAGCACCCAACTTGCGCAGCGCATACTCCGCTCCCGCGCAGTAGTCCATCACGTCCTGACAGGATCTCTGGAAGTCTTCGGCCTAGAACAACCAATAATGTATTCCAATAGGAAAAAGAAACACTAATTAGAGCAGGAGCCTGCAACGTACATTCTTGCGTGCCTCTTTCAGCCTCTCTGTTCGAGCCTTGGCTTTTAACTGAACCCTGGTCCATAGAGCATTCAGCCCAGCCAGCTGTTCTTGCATTACCAAGGAGTCTGTGAGATCCACAGCATCACTACCTGTCTCTGGCTTGCACTTGTTCAAGAGCTGAGCAGCAGCCGTCTGTAATTTTGCCACGGAGACCCCTCTGTCTTCGAGTTGGGCTAACAGAGACTGATGAGCTTCTTCAAGATGCTATATTGTCGATTGGAAATGAGAAAATTATGTGTTGGCAAACCATGCGACAACGTGAATTGCGAAAAAATTAAATACGCGGCTTCCAGGACGCAAAAGACATTTCAATTCTTGTGGGCAGCAAAAGTTCAAAAACAACAACCAAAGGCAAATTGAAACCAGATTTAGTTCCACAATCGCTTTTTAAGTTGCGTTATACAGGATCGACTAGTCATTTAAGATCCTGACAATTAAAAAGCATTCGGCTCACGAATGTCACTAAAATGAAGCTGCCTTTGGATTCTATTACGACTCCCAAGCATTTACTGTCTACATAATCCCAATTTTTGGTTTAAGATGACAATAACCGTTGCGCGGAAACTAGATGATTACTCTTTGCGGTACCTCAAGCGTTCATGCATCATGACAATAGATTGTTATTTAATGTCGTGATCCAAACTTATGGATTTGGCTCACGAGGCTGACAGATGACAGCTTGTGCTACTTTGCCATAATCATCACTGACTATGACCTTGGACGGTTGAGCCAAATTGGCTGTTCTGATAAGACCGGATCTGTGGGAACGCTTCCTTTTAACAGACAAGAAAGTTATCCCGAGAAGCACCAAATTATTTTCTATTCCCGGACACTACAGACCAATGATAATGCTAAAGTTTCAATCTTCAAGATACCGCTGATGGAGGCTTCGAAAACAGTGTTTGGGGGCTCCTTCGAGAAACTGCCATTTTAGACCACGCCCGTTTGCTCAAATGTAGATTGGTCCTCTACCACGGCTAGAACCGAAAGTGGGGATTATTTCAACTCAACTGTAAATATGCAAATACTACAAGTCCGATATTTTACGAATACAGTAGAAAAAGTTTGAGCGATTCAAGCATTACCTTCACAGTCTCTACATCCCCGGCGCAGCCCTTCTTGTCGTCGTCTAGGAGACTGTCAACCTTGTTGATCCACTCGAGCAGTGATCCAAGTGCGTCCTTGTACTGGCCCGAACGGAGAAGAGCCTCCTCCAGGGCTTTTTGTCTAAAAAACCAAAGGAAACATGCCCATTTAATCTTCCTTTCTCTGTTTTGTTTGGAAAACCAGTTAGAGATATCATAAACCCCTATAATTCGGTATACTCTAGACTAATTGCCCCGAATTCGCTGAAAATTGTGGCTATTTCAGTTTTATCTGAATTGTAACCAGAACGGTCCCAATATGTATAATCTGTTACCTTGACTGACATCTCATGCAGAGAACTTTGGTCGACTGCAGTTGCCTATGTATCGACCCCACAGTAGCTCAATGGACTGACTTTGTCTTCTTTGGTCATGTGTTGTATTATTCAAAGGTTTTTGTTCTCGTGAAGTGAGTCTTGGTCAGTTGAAACTTACAAAACGCCCGAGGCGAATGAGTTTGGACGGCCTATGAACTCGGACTCAAAGTCAAAGGGCTTCAAATGTGAACCTCTAAATACACCATATACAGACCAACGCCACGATTACGTCAGTATGTGAAATATAAAGACACCGTATCCACTCGCAATTGAATTCTGACTTACTTTTCCAACGACTTTGCACAGACCTCATTCCACAGGTACTTTAGTTCGCTTTGCATTCTATCGAGCTCGAGGTGGTCGTCTCGTGGAGCCTTGTCTTTCAGTTTGGTCAGCTCTCTTCGCACCGAATCGAATGTGGCGCTGTGAACGCCAAGTTCACGCTGAAATTCGCGGTGTTGGGAGAGCGCTTTCAGTAGAATGTCCGTCTGTGCACTCACCAACCAACTGCCTTCTTGCAGGTGAGTGTTCAGTGCTTCGTTTAGCCACTCGGTTAAGTCCTTCCACTTGGACATCAATTTCTGTGATTCCTGGACGAACACACAAGTATTTTAAGGGGCGATTAATTGGAAACATCTCAATATCGTTTTCACCTTATGGCTAACAAAAATTTGATGAAAGGTCAGATAAAACTTCAAACCCGTTGTCTAATTTTAAATAAAACTTACCAAAATTATGTCTTTTAGTAAAGTTCGGAATGTGATATTAATAACTAATTGCCAAGTTCAACGAGATATATCCATGAATAAATATTTTTTGTCATGCCTTTCTTTATTTTAAATGTTAGGGGGTACCAATTTTGTACCAACCATTACCGAACTACTTCTGATGCTTCCTGCGCAATATAGTGCTTGACTAGTCAACCGTTACAAAACGCAGATTACATTTGAAAAAAAGGTGACTTAAGAGTTCTCTTCATCTTCACAACTGCCTCAAATTATAACGAAAAATCATTGCTTAAAGTTGTGAAGCTAGAACTGTCGATGACTCCTAATGACAAAAGACCGGAGGTAAATTATTGCTTGTCTTGCCAGCTGTTATTTTGTGAAAGCACTTAAGTGAATTTTGGCTCATGCAGATTTGAGACTTTGGTTGGAGCTTAGTAGCTACTGTCACAATGAAGGGGAATTTCATTTCACCCTCATCCCCTGACTTTAAGATAACTCACTTTGAATGCTGACGCAAACTGTCTGCTCCTGTCGGCGCTCCTTTGGAACAGTTTTTCCCACCTAATGTGAGCACTGGCGAGCAGATTCTTCACCAGCACAACGTCGTGCTCCAACGAATGCGCTCCGATGAAGATGGAAGCCCGATCGAGAGGTGCTAGCACGGAGTCGCGCTTCGCTGCGATCTCCTTTCTCAAGGCTAATTGTGAAGGCAGTTGCAACTCAAGGGTTGAGGGAATGAAGGAGATGGCCGGGGCCTGATTCATTCGTCGCTCGGCCTGTGTCAGCCACTGGATGAAGTCTCCCAATTCGTTGTGGAAGGCCTCAACCCGAGCGACAGCCGACTCCATGTGCGCGAGTCTATCGCGGGCCTGAGTAGCAAGGCGTGACTGGTGCTCGCTGAGGTTTTCAAGATGACCAGCGAGGCGGTCGTGTGTACTGCCAGCTGAAGCCAGCAATCCAGCCGAGGAAGACCACAGATTACCAATCTGCACAGGATGGAGACAACAGGTTGATATGCGCCACAATTAGACTACTTAATATGCTACATGATCATTTGTGGTCTGGCTAAATAAGTCAATCCAAAGATGCGCAAATATTGCTTGCCTGTTTGCCAAGGGCATCAATGGAGCTGTGTAGACGGATGAATTTGTTTATGCTTTGTTTAGCGCTATCAGGCAGTCCACCAATAACACGCATTCCTGACGTTGGCATCTGCCCTTCTAATCGTCGGCAATCACGTCGGAGTTCGTCCAACTGGCTGTAAAACTTTTGAGCCTAAAATACATTATAGAATGTCAGTAGTCATATAAATCGGCTCAAATCTGTTCAAACAAATCAAATCACTACAAGAGCTGGGGTGCATCTTTCATGTCGATGTGATGCCGCACCACGGGGCATCCTTTTATTTGGAGTTTGCATGCAAAATAATCCAGCCAGAAGTGAACATCGCTTGATGCTAGCTTGGTTCAAGAGTTCCGACATGCCAACTCGACCTACAGGACTGATTGAAAACATGGTAATTGGTACTACCGAGAGAATTCGGGTGCCTTAGAGATACAGAACAACTTCCAAAACGTGTTCAATAAATGGCTTTTCAATCTGAGAATGAGCCGAAATCTTCATCCAAAAATGATAACATCCAATTACTGAATCTGAACAAATGCACACAAGTTCTACCCAAGCGAATATTTATGTGGGATTTTGGGACACTGTGTCTAGCTATCAAGAAAACTCAGAACCGATTTAATTTCGGGTTGAACTGTAGAATGCAATTGTTAAGGAGGATTGCTATCAAACAAAAACCACAATTTTCACAAGCTCTCTTGCTACCTGCACCGTAAGTAGCACAACACTGAAGACTAGCATTTACAATGTACTACGGTTTACTTCGATTAAATTTTGGATGCTTCCATGAATTTGTTTATTTTGTGGCAACAAAATATGCAAACATTTGGGACTTGCCCAAGTAAGTGAATGCATCTACCTCTCGAAGTGCCTCCTCAAGTCTCATTTGTTTTTCCCTAACCGACAATTTCAGATGATCCCAGGCATCGTTGAGCTGCACAAGTTTCTTCGACAGTTCTGGATCCAAGTCTCTCGGCTCCTCCATGCCCGTGACTTCTTGGTTGATTCGAACAACGT